GGTCACCACCTTTACCCAAAATTTCGGTTGGGAATGGACCTGAACCAACTCTTGTAGTGTATGCTTTGACCTGCATTAAACATTGCCAGTCGAGAACAAAAAATTTTCAGTCTAAACAGTTCACTATTAAACTAATGGGACAAATGACACAGATGGTTTTACTACAACGTCTGCAACCTGTTTCATCTCATTGGAATGCATTTGAGTAACACTTGTCAAAGTCAATCAAAATAGGATATTCAGGCAACAATTTTCATTAAAAGGCACTTCTGATTTCAAGTTGAAATGAAAATATTGTTCAGATTCAAGTTTCAGCAATCAAAAAGGAGGGATTACTTTCTGAGGAAAGAAAACAAAATAGCAAAAAAACCTTACCACACCTACAAGATCACCAACAACTCTAGGAGCGATGCCAAGACCTGTACATATCCCTCCAGCTGATGGACTAGAGGAAGTAACAAAGGGATAGGTTCCAAAGTCGATATCTAACATGGTTGCCTGACCACCTTCCACTAATATCTTCCTTTTTTGAGAGATAGCATCATTCATGAAATGCACGGTATCAGTAATATAGGGTTCCAACCTCTCAGCAAATCTCTTGTATAGTTCAACTTCTTGCCTGAGCATGTCAGGGCCATAGTTAAAACCTTTAAATCTCGAAGCTGCATCTGACAATAAAAGATCAAGCTTCTGAGGGAAAGTATCCATGTGCCTCAAGTCGCTTACTCTTATGCCATTCCTGATAACCTTGCTTGAATAGCAAGGTCCAATGCCTCTTCTAGTGGTACCAATGAAAGATTTAGCAAGCTCAGCTTCTCTAAGCCCATCAACTTCTTGATGAAAATCAAATAGCAATTGAGCACGGTCAGATACCAATATCCTTCCTTTGCAAGAGACACCATTAGATTCAAGACTGTCAATTTCTTTAAAGAATCCTGGCAGATGCACCACAACTCCATTACCAATCACACAGATAGTTTCCTCGTTCAGAATTCCAGAAGGAACTAGGTGAAGTGCAAACTTTTTGCCTTCTGAGTTATAAATAGTGTGCCCAGCATTAGCTCCACCCTGCCATCAAATAATTTTGAAGGCTCCAAAATAAACGTAGGCAAAGAATATGGAGTTTCACAAATTCAAGACAATTCAGTGTGTCAATAATCACAATATTGGGTGGCTTGGTCACAATCCCTATCTACTGCTACAATTATGGAAACCATTTCAACAAGATGGGAAATCAAGCTGCCACTAGACTACTTCCAAATATTAACATTCTATCTAATAATAATTAATAACACATACGGAGGAAACAAAATTGCTCCTTCAGTTTGGATATAAAATAGCACAAAAGCAATTGGAACATGACAACAAAAGACTACAGCCTCATTTTTTACTTTGCATAAATAGACACTGGGTATAGTGAAATTTACTAATTGCGCAAGTCACACTGTAAACACTTACATGACTAGAGCAATGTCATACTCTGGAATATGTATGTGTTGCTTCTCAATATACCTTAGGTGTTGATCGCTAACCATCTCAACCCCTTAGGCGCAGACGGGATTCACTTCTTGATCAAAGGTTTGGCATGTTACATGTCAATGATACGAAGTTAAACTTTGTGTGTTCCTTCTATATAACAAAAGCTTCAACAGGTTGAAGAAACTCAGGGGAAACATTTTGTAGAATATTATTCAATTTAGTTCTAATTGCAGAAAAAATTATCATGTTCTAACTTAAAATCATTATCACTCACTAATCCCTAAACTAACAAAATTTGCAAAAGATATTTATGAAATTCAGAAAGTAAATAAGTAACTCAATGTTAAAAATACAGAGTCTTCACCAAAAAATAAAATAAAATACCCAGACTTAATTTCGCGTTCAGATGTTCATGTGTATGTGTGTACCTGACACCGAGCGACGATGTCGAAGTGCTTAGCGAGGATGTCTACGAGCTTTCCTTTGCCTTCATCACCCCACTGGCAGCCCAGCACGCCGGATACCTGACTCAGTGACTCGATTCGACTCAGTCCCGAGTCAGAATCGCTCACTCCCTTCTCCTGTATAACAGCAGAACCGGTGTTCGTGGAAGCGCAAACAACGACAAACTTCTTGAAATCAATAAAATTCCTCTGCAACTGCTGCTTGTTTTGGAGGAAAATGTGAGAGTGAAGTTGGGACTGGCCGAGGTTGTTGGGCCCGGAAAAAATGGTGTTGGAATCGAATCTGAGAGATGAGAAGTTCATAGCGGCGGCCATGATGCCTTATGCTTGATATTTTCCGGCAGACGAGAAGCGACGAGGGTTTAGCCAGAAGGTAGCGTAGTGCAGTCTGGATCACGCTTTTATCCTAGAATTACCAGTCAATGCTCTGTGACATGGCATTATCGAATTTGACAGTTGCCTTGACAATTATGTAAATATATGTAATAAAAGAATATACAAATGGCATAATCTTTAATTTAATATGGACTATTGACCAAAAAAAAAGAAGAGAAAATCTGTATATTATTGAGAATTTATAAAATTCAAAACTAGAGTTACAATAATAATAGAATAAGCTTTTTAGACTAGATAAAATTTATCTATGCATACAGATGATGATAAGACTAAGAGCTTGTTTGGAAAGGATTAAAATCAGATTAAAATTGAAAAACTAGCCGTTATTGTTGACTTTTATTAGACGGGTGGGATCCAATAACGACTATATTTTCAATTTTAATTGAATTAAAATCACTCACAAACAAGCCCTAAATGATTATCAATTATCTTATAGTTTTATATCACTAGATATTATATTGTTTGTTTTGGCCCTTGTGCGGTAGTGGACTAAAATTGAATTTTTAGTAAATTTTCATAAAAATTGATAAAAATATGTAATTTAAATGTTATAGGTTGGGATGAAATAAAATCTTGATCATAATTCCTACCATATAGGGACTTAGTAGTATTTTACATAATATTTTATAGACTGATGATGTGTCAAAAAGAAAGTTGGGCAAGTTTTATTTCGATAGTGTTACATATATATCACAACTTATTGATTTATTTACCAACAGATGATATAACCAGATTTGATTGAGTCAAAATCTCACCAAACAAAAATAATAATAATGCTATTTGTGCATTATTGAATACAAAGGTATACAAATAGATGATATGAAAGAGAGATTATAACAACTGAATTTATTTTCTTTCCATTGCTCTGTCTCTCTCTCTCTCTCTCTTCATGCTATCTATCTGTACTCCATTATGTACATAATGATATATAAATAGCATTACTCTACAAAAAAATTGCTCCACTTTCTTTTGATGCCTCATTAATTTGTACATGATTATGTAAATAGTGTAGTGCAACAAGCATTTTTTATTTTTGTCTACCATTTTTCAAAACATT